TCCTCCCACCCACCTTCCTGCAAAAATGCTATCCCCTATTCCCAATTCCTTCGCCTCCGCCGCATCTGCTCCCAGGATGAGGCATTCCACTCCCGTACATCTCAGTTGTCCTCGTTTTTCAAGGACCGTAACTTCCCCTCCTCGGTGGTCGAGAACGCCCTCAACCGTGTCTCCCACATCTCCCGCACCTCATCCCTCACACCCCGTCCACGCAATAAAAACCAAAAAAGAATCCCCCTCGTCCTCACGTACCACCCCACCAACCTCCGGATCCAACGCATCATCCTCCGACACTTCCGCCATCTGCAATCCGACCCCACCACCAAAGACATCTTTCCCTCCCCACCCTTATCTGCTTTCCGGAGGGACAACTCTCTCCGTGACTCCCTTGTCCGCTCCACACTCCCCTCCAGCTCCACCACACCCGGCACTTTTCCCTGCAACCGCAGGAAGTGCTACACCTGCCCCCACACCTCCTCCCTCACCCCCATCCCAGGCCCCAAGAAGACTTTCCACTTCAAGCAGATGTTCACCTGCACATCTGCTAATGTGGTATACTGCATCCACTGTTCCCATTGTGGCCTCCTCTACATCGGGGAAACCAAGCGGAGGCTTGGGGACCGCTTTGCAGAACACCTATGCTCGGTTCGCAATAAACAACTGCACCTCCCAGTCACAAACCATTTCAACACCCCCTCCCATTCCTCAGACGACATGTCCATCCTGGGCCTCCTGCAGTGCCACAACGATGCCACCCGAAGGTTGCAGGAACAGCAACTCGTCTTCCGTTTGGGAACCCTGCAGCCCAATGGTATCAATGTGGATTTCACAAGCTTCAAAATCTCCCCTCCCCCAACTGCATCCCAAAACCAGCCCAGCTCGTCCCCGCCTCCCTAACCTGTTCTTCCTCCCACCTATCCCCTCCTCCCACATCAAGCCTCACCCCCATCTCCTACCGACCAACCGCATCCCGCCCCCTTGACCTGTCCGTCCTCCCTGGACTGACCTATCCCCTCCCTAACTCCCCACCTACACTCACCTTTACTGGCTCCATCCCCGCCTCTTTGACCTGTCTGTTTCCTCTCCACCTATCTTCTCCTCTATCCCTCTTCTATCTGCCTCCCCCTCGCTCCCTATTTATTTCAGAACCCCCTTCCCCTCCCCCCTTTTCTGATGAAGGGTCTAGGCCCGAAACGTCAGCCTTCCTGCTCCTATGATGCTGCTTGGCCTGCTGTGTTCATCCAGCCCTGCACCTTGTTGTCTCGGATTCTCCAGCATCTGCAGTTCCTACTATCTCTAAACAATATCAATTATACTTTCAGCTTTCCTCAGTGACTCTTGCTGAGAAGGACACATAGAAAGCAGATGAGCATTATCATCAGACCTGGCTGAGATTTAACCTATCATTGAACCACTTATCAACAGTCACCATCTAGAATGACACAAGGGACAGCAAGCACAGGGGTGACAAGTGAATGGAACTTGATCTGCATTTGGAAATGGGCAGCAGAGTTTGGATGCCTACAGGTGAAGTGAACAGGTTGTAATCTGATTTCAGGGATCAGAAAACAGGTTGTATATCATTCTACACTGGTTCCTGGTCCACTAAAATCTCACTTTTTAAAATGGTCATTCTTGTATTATTCATTATCGTAGCCTCACTCCACCATATCTCTGTGTTCTACTTCAACCCTCCAAGAACTCCATGTTCTTTCAAATCTCCACCTCTTTTAACACCATCACTATCCACCATGTCTTCAGCTATCATAGACATGCAGCATTGAAACAGGCCCTTCAGCCCACCACGTCTATGCTGAACAACAAATACCAAACTAATCCCATTTGGTCTGTAGCTTACTATGCCCTGGCATTTTAAGTACTCATCCAGCTGCCGTTCTTATGTTGTGAGAGTACCTGCCTCCAGCACCCTCTCAGGCAGCGTGTTCCATATTTCTACTACACTCTGGGTGAAAACATTTTCCCCAGATTCCCTTTAAACCACCTACCCCTCACCTTAAACGTATTCGCTCTGGTCTTAGACATGTCTGCCATGGGGAAAAGATTCTTGCAATTGACCCTATCTATGTCTTGCATAATTTTGTATGCTTCAATCAGATCCCCCCCGTCAGCCTCCTTTGCTCCAGGGAAAACAAGTCCGGGCTATTCAGTCTCTCCTGATAACTAAGACTTTCCATCCCAGGCAACATCCCACTGAATCTCCTCTGCATCCTCTCCAGTGCAGTCACACCCTTCTGATTTGGTGATCAGAACTGCACACAGTACTCCGTCTGTGCCCTAAACAGTTCGTTATAAAGTTGTAACAAGACTTCCTTGTTCCAAATTCTATACCCTAGCTCATGAAGGCAAGCTTCCCATACACCTTCTTCACTGCCCTGTCTACCTGTGCTGACACCTTCAGGGATCTAGGGACTTGTGCACCAAGGTCTCTTTGTTCCTCAGTATTCGCTAGCAACCTACCATAGTCTCATAATTCACCCAAATAACTATTGTTCTCTATATTCGTTTAAAATTATTATTGTACACCAAATGTTTCTCCTTCATTAGATCATTATTGCAGCACAACATTTCTGAAGTATGTTATTTATCTAGAAGATTCTGTCGAACAAAACTATGGATTGAATCTGAGGTGCCTGACATTTGTTGAAATGGAGTTATTTGTAATGAATTAGCTGATCTTGGGGACTATAAGTGCTAAAACTAACTTCAGGACCAAAAGCAGGGCAGCGTGAAATCAACTATGATTCCTACTCCATTTGTGAAAATCATGATACCAGAATTGTGAGGCTATACCCATCAGGAAAGGGTGAATAGGCTGAGTCTGTTTTCTCTTGAAAAAGATTAAGGGGTGAGCAAATAGCTATCTTTGAAAGGATGAAATTTTTTAATAGATACTGAAGGAATGTTTCCTCTTGTGGGGAAGAGTATAGCCAGAGGTTATCAATATGAAAGTCCCCAGGAAATCCAATAGGGAATTCCCAAGAAATTTCTTCACCCAAAAGAATGGTGAGAATGTGGAATTCATTACCAGGGAGCAGCTGCAGGGAAATAGAATAGATTAATTCAAGTGGAATCTAGATGGGAATCCGAGACAAAGGGAATGGAGGGTTTTCTAATGGAATTAATTTGGGAAGGATGGGAAAAGGGTCGCATGTAGCATATAAGTCAGCATGAACTGGATGGGGAGATTGGATTGTTTCTGTGCGCTATTATTCTGCGTGGCTCCATATAACGCTATGTAGCAGCACGGTTGTACCCTCACTCTCCTAACAATGACAAGCGATGAATGACTCTTTGGATGAACCATGTGAAAAATGGTTACTTGGGTGATGTAGCAAATGGCTCATTGTGACTGCCTAGTGCTCTCATCCTGGGGAGAAGGGGAATAAAGGGAGAAAGCAGTCACTGCAGTATGAATCACACAGAACGCTGTAGCTGCAGTGTGAGTCACATGGTACACGAGCGACCATTCTTTTGAAATGCATAATTGTTACTGGGGGCGAATAATAATTTTTCCCACTTTAGAAAGTATCCAGATATGGTTGTTTGCCCGTACAAATAAGACGGGGAAGTTTGACTTCCACATATAACAGGCACATTTATATATTCAGATAACATCAACAAATCTATCTACCCTCATTGGAGACGTTTACAATACAATCGAATCTGGACCCCTCCATTTCTAGTCACACACTCCCTCCATCAGCTGATAGATATGATTGACGCTTACACCGGGCTAATGTCTGGTGTAATAATCAGCTTTATGCCTTTTCTACCAGCAGAGAAAAGAAAACTACGTCCCCATATCCAGTGTGTAGGACTGCTTTTGTCTCTTTGCTGAAATATGCTACTCCGGACAGTCAAAATCACCTAAAATACAATAGAATAAAATTAATAATGCTCGTGGGAAATGTTCTAAAATTCCTTTTTTATATAATTCGACAAAATCAGGAATGGACTGTTTCTCTGAAGTCGCTTCAATTTAAAATAGTTACACTGTATTGACGTGTGTCCAGCACAAAAGACTGAAAAATCCCCGCCCCACCCTGTCTCATTCCACAGCCAGTTTCGTAACATGAAACAATAGCAACAAGAGACAAAGTTGCTATATCAAGGAATCCGTTTTATTTTGTCTCCCGACCCTGCCCCAATGGAGGGCAATATTTGCTGCGAAGTTTGTCGGGGTGTGACAATTTAGAACTGAGAAGGCGCCGTTAACATAACAGAACGCGCTGGCCGAATTGCAACATGTAGAACATTTTCTGTTACATTGAGAGAAACAGCAATTTAGTCTTATATCGTTACAAAGAGCTAATGTAACAAACTTCACTAATTATTGTATTAATTTTACAGTAACCAGTAGATAAAATACCACTTTTTACATGCAGGATCTAGTCGTGTAATTCTGCTAAAGAATTGAACGTAGTTTGTAAAAGAATTTTTATTCGTTGGGGGCGGGAAATTCCTTGTGTAAAATAGATGGAAACGTGGCTTCGTTAATTATGAGAAACTTTTTAACGGAGAGAATAGTCAGAAAATTGTTAATTTGTAAATTGGTATTTATAAGATATTTAATAATTTCCTTCATCAAATAAGCAGTTCAACGTAGTCCATGATGTTATCAGTGAAAGAATATTTCCTTTGAATTTCTCTTTATAAGCAAGGCCATTTTGATACTTCAGAAGAATAGTGGCTTGATTAATTGCTGAGGTGTTTTATCCTCCGAAAACCGGAATCTTATTATTTCATCTGCCAGTTCTATGCTGTTTTATCAAATGTCAGCCTTTGTTCCAAATCACTCGTGGTCAAGGCGATTAGTTTATTCAGGAGCGTCTGCCCAATCAGAACCCGCGAAGCAGTTAACGGAACATATCTCCTCCTATCAGAGAGTCAGCATTGTGATAGTTCCTCGTCACTCAAACAGACCTCCTCCAATGAGAATGGCTCCACTGACCAGGACCCGCAGTCTGGCCCCACTATAAGAACATGTCTCTCCCATCTGAGGGTAGGTTTTTTCTTACGACGACCCGTAAAAGTCGCGCTGTAGGAAGAAGTCGCTGAAGCCCTCTCTTTATTCCATTTGTTTTGTCTACTACCAAGGACCAGGCATCATGGTAAGATGCTGTTTAATACAAAGAGTTTTCTTTCTCCCCAGCAAGCTACACATTGGAATTTTGTATTGTAAGACTTGTCCTCGTTTTTAAGCATCTTAATTATGTTTTTTTAAGTACACTTGTTTGACTTAATTTCTGAATTCCACTACGCAAATCTCGTGAACATAAACATCACGGGATAGCTAAATGCGGTCCGAGGTGAAAGGAACAGAAGAAATGCTGAGAGCGTGGGAGGTGGCTCATGTGAGCATAAACACACCACCAAATGACCTGTTTGTGTTGCAAATACAATGCAATAAACTACGTTGTCTGAATGATTTAATTAGAACGGGGAATAACTATTACTATCAAAGATAATGTATATGTACGCTATTCGCATGCAATTTTCCGTCAATACAATCAAATTCACCTTTAAAATGTTAAAGGTGTTGAAATAAAGCCACTTCAATGGACTTCTGCAAGTAATCTTTTCTGGAGAAAAGAATCCCTCGCATTAACAGCGAATTTATTAAGATCGTTTTCGAAGCTTTTCGCTAGCTAATCGCTGCATATGTCTACAAGGATAGATGATGTAACATTTGAACGTGATGTTGGAACATAATGGGCAGTGGCTCTCAATGTGCAGAGGGTGTGAGCTGAATTTGGCATACTTTTCCCTTTTGAAATTGCTTTGTGTCGGGATACTGACGCTTCCACACTTTTCCTGTGCAATGGCTTGTCAACCATAGTTGCGAGCTGAAAGCTTTCGTACCCATCCCCTGGTGAAATCACTGTAGGGCTGCTCAGTAACAGTATACGTCAGTGACGGTCATGCGTGGACACAAAGCCAACGTCAACACGAGGTCACCGTGAAATAGGCAGCTTTGTAAATTGTGTAGCTATGCTAAGATTCAAACTACAGATAATGGAGTCTGTATAAATTACTGGGTTTAAAGAAATAAGATGGCGGTGTGGGGGAGAGTGATTTGATTGCAATCCGTCTGGGAGGGGTCGGTGGGGGAGGGGTGAGATGGCGGCAGTTGGAGACAATCTGCACTGCAGTGTGACCCCACCCAAGTTCAGCATCCGAACCAGTAATTCTAGCCAGTTTGTGTATTGTAGTGCTAAACACAAGAATTGCACGGATGTGTCCTTTTTTCTGGCCAGTACCAGTGATCCAGGTTCAATTCCAGGTTCGGGTGACTATGGAATTTGCATGTTTTCCCCGATTCTGCATGGGTTTCTGCTGGTTTTCCCCTATCAGTCCAAAGATGTGCAGGTTAGTTGGATTGGCCATGTTAAATTAACTATGGTGTTCACAGATGTGTAGGTTAAACGGATTAGCCATGGGAAATGCAGGGCTACAGGGATGGGGAGGGTTCTAGGTCGTATGCTCTTTTGGGAAGTCGGTGCAGATTCGATGGGCCAAATAGCCCCTTTCTGCATTGTAGGGATTCTGATTCTCCACGATACGTGCTTTTGTATCGCAAAAACCGCTTTTGATTTGTACAGCAATCCCATTCTAGGTTTATAATTAGCTTACAGATGGGGCTGAAAGCTTTTGCATCAACTCGCACCTCAAATGGTGGGTTGTAAAATCGTTACTTGTGCTTTAATTTTTTAGGAAACGTTTAAATCAATTATCCTCTTAAATGTATATTCAAGCACAATCATTTGATTTAAAATAAGATTGAATTGCTTTGAAAAATGTCAACCATTGCTAAAAGCACTAAATGTAGTTAAAACATTCTACAGCAAAATGCATGTTGGGATGGTGAAGTACAATTAATTCATAAGTAATTGTTTTATCACAATTGACACTGATGTAAACATCTGATTCCATATTGAAGGTGGCATATATGCCACTTGCTAAATGGCTGGGTGATGTGCTTGATTTCCATATTACCTGCATATCAGAAATACTAAATTCAGTCCTGTTTCTGTCCCAGCTTGACTTCTCGAGTTGTCTGCCTGCCCCTTTCATGAAATGTCCCTCAAGCATGAGTTGCACTCCTGTCAGGTGCATGATACCTTTCACAAAACAGAGGTTGACCTGATGTACAGATATGGTTCAACTGCAAATCACAGTATAGACCTGATGCACATTATTACAATGGTAGTAATACTACCCCTCAAACACTTTCCAATAGTGTCGTACAAGGAATCCAGTCACATACAGGTGCTTCACACAAACTAGATGTATCTTGCAGCTGCCTCAAATTGCGTGGTTACCCAATCTAGCCTCTACATAATTCATGACTGTTCTATCAACTGGTTAGTAAGACCTCTGAGACAACAATCAGATGTATTTTCAGCTGATTCTGAGGTAGCATATGCTTGCCTACCCATCAAGAGAGTAGTAGACTTCTCCTAAAGGTAATGCTTACCATGAGCATGAATGCAGTAATAAATTTGTATGAATGTTTTTTAGATGAGATGTCAAAGTAGTTGATCACAACTTTTATATTTGTTTCTGTGCAGCGTGAGTGCATCAGTATCCACGTTGGCCAGGCTGGAGTCCAGATTGGAAATGCCTGCTGGGAGCTCTACTGCTTGGAACATGGCATCCAGCCTGATGGGCAGATGCCCAGTGACAAGACCATCGGAGGTGGAGATGATTCCTTCAACACCTTCTTCAGTGAGACAGGAGCAGGCAAACATGTTCCACGAGCTGTGTTTGTGGACTTGGAGCCAACTGTAATAGGTAGGTGATGGGCACGTGTAACAGTTACCTTGCAGACCTCTTCTCTGGTTATGCCAAATGAATCTGATTTCATCTCAGTTAAGTGTGTTAATGTATCACTGAAATCCCACTCTCTCTCTATCCTAGATGAGGTCCGTACTGGTACTTACCGCCAGCTGTTCCACCCTGAGCAGCTGATCACTGGGAAGGAAGATGCAGCTAATAACTATGCCCGTGGTCACTACACAATTGGCAAGGAGATCATTGACTTGGTTCTGGACCGAATCCGTAAACTGGTGAGTATACTTTGGCTAAAGTGTGAAGCCAAAGTTGTGACAGGCCTCAATATAGCCATAGTAACTGACATTTGCATTTGTCTTCTGCAGGCTGACCAATGTACAGGTCTCCAAGGTTTCCTGGTCTTCCACAGCTTTGGTGGTGGCACTGGCTCTGGCTTTACATCTCTGCTGATGGAACGTCTCTCTGTTGACTATGGCAAGAAATCCAAGCTTGAATTCTCCATCTACCCAGCTCCCCAGGTGTCTACTGCAGTGGTAGAGCCTTACAATTCCATCCTGACCACCCACACTACCCTGGAACACTCCGATTGTGCTTTCATGGTTGACAATGAAGCCATCTATGACATCTGCCGAAGAAACCTAGACATTGAGAGGCCAACTTACACCAACCTGAACCGCCTCATCAGCCAGATAGTGTCCTCTATCACTGCCTCCCTTCGCTTTGATGGCGCCCTGAATGTTGATCTGACCGAGTTCCAGACCAACTTGGTGCCATACCCCCGTATCCACTTCCCCTTGGCCACCTATGCACCAGTTATCTCTGCTGAGAAGGCATATCATGAGCAGCT